GTAATGTCTGTCTGATGAGGAAACTGACACTAAAAGCTTGAACAGTTTCAGATCACACAGCTGCCAATTAACAGACAGAAGCCAAGTGCAGATACACCTGACTCCAGACACCGAGCTTCTGACTAGACATTCCCAGACAGGTCAAGTTTATTATCAAAATTCCTGGCTGTCAATTTCTTTTGTCCTCTCCTCTACTTGATTCTAGCAGTGAGAGGGCTGTGTGCATTTTCCATCCAGGACACTCTGTTCCATGTCTTCTTTTTTGCCTTTCAGTGCTAGTGAGAAGTGATTTATTGTCTTTTTCAGTTTTGCTTGACACCAGGTTCACGAGTGTCCTGATTCAGACAATTGAATTTATTTTCTAAGTCCCAGGTCTAAGTGCTATTTTCTATGTCTTAGCTCTTTCCTACCAAAATCAAGGCAAACACCCATGGCTTTGAAATAGATTCAAGTTCTAGTTCAACCATTGGACAGTTCCGTCACATTGAGAGTAAGCTATCTAAGCTCTGTGATCATCAAGTCACCTCCAGTGATCACTTAACCAGAGACGCTTACTGAGCATGTGTGATAGGTCAGGAAATAGAACTGTAAGGTTTAACTGTGTTCGGTTCTGTTCTGGGCTTCCAGATGAATTGCCTCTGGTTCCTGGCTATCTAGGCAATCTAAGAAGCTCCCTCTCATGGCCCTTTTCCTAGTCCAGCTGTAATATGAGGGTTTGTGCCTAGTCTTATTGTAACCTGTTAGACTATGTTGGATGGATACCCCAAGGAGAACTGCTCTTTTTTTTGGGGGGGGGAATGGAGGAGGAGTGGATCTGGGGACAGGGAATTGAGGGAGAGACTAGAAGGAGAGGAGAGAGTAAGGAAACTGTAGTAGGGATGTAATGTAGAGAGAAGAATAAAGAAACAAACATTTAAGTGAAGTAAAATGGGTGCTGTGCTAGGTGACAGACATAGGAGATTTTAAAGCTCAGCAAAAAAGAGTAGTAAAGGACAATGTTCCCCACAGCTTCAGCCAGGTGTGAGACAGATGAGTGAGAGGTTCTGCCGATAGAGAGACTCATGAAGTGACCTTGTAGGGGCTAAATGGGTAGCTGAGTATTAGAACTGTTGTTTAACATGCGAAGCCTTGAGTTTGATTCCTGGGGTTGGTGAGAGAGAGAGAGACAGAGAGACAGAGAGAGAGAGAGAGACAGACAGACACACACACACACACACACACACACACAGATAGAGACAAAGAGACAGAGAGACAGAGAGACAAAGAGACACAGAGAGAGACAGGGAAAGTGACAGAGAGACAGAGAAGAGAGAAAGAGAGAGCACTTCTGTAATTGAACATCTTTGTGCTTGATCAGGCTGAACAGAATGTCAAGTAATAGTTACAGCCAGCATTCTTTGAGCACCAGTATACACTGCACATATATGGACTCACAATGTCACAACCTCCTGAAGCAGGTTTCATCAGAACGTCATTTTATGGAGAAAGAAAGAGATCCAGAGAGGTTAATAATTTGCCTGAGACTACACAGCTGGCAAATGGTAGTGCTGGGACCCAGCTAGGCATGCTGGCTATTTCATCATCATAATCCCATTCCATTGGGTTTGCCTTTGATTTCTGCATCTCGTATCTATATAGCCAATGCCAAGCAGCTTAGTCAGGGGTTGCTTAGAAGGCCATGGTATGCTGAGAATTTATTTGGACAATATGTATTGCCCGGTTCTTCTCCTTTGATGTCTGTTTTGTGAATCCCACCCATGTCCCTCCTTTCCTGATGACTCTCTGTGACATCAGCCAAAGACCAAACTAGCTCAGCCAGAAAGGTGTTGCTGAGAGCCCTTAGAGTGGAGGAGCTGGCTGGGCAATGATGTGGGAGGTGGGGCTGCTGCTCCCACCCCTGAAGACAAGACTGCCTTTCAGCCCAGCCTGGGCAACCTTGCTAAATCCTGTTTTCTGGCTCTTTTCCCAAGTGAGGCATGACCCACAAAACTTCCCCAAAGCTGTCTCAGTTCCTGAATTTAATAGAGCATTGCCACCTTCAGATTCCTTCAGTTTCTATTATGACATTATTCATAATTTTTTAAACCGGTGTGTGTGTGTGTGTGTGTGTGTGTGTGTGTGTGTGTGTGTGTATGTATGTGATATGCTCATCTGTGTGTGTGTACCTGTGAAGGTCAGAGATCCATGCCAGGTGTTTTTTTTTAATCACCATGTATGTATGTATGTATGTATGTATGTATGTATGTATGTATGTATCTATCTATCTATCTATCTATCTATCTATCTATCTGAGACAAGGTATCTGGGAGCTCACTGTTTCAACTAGTCTGGCTGGCCAACAAGTCCTCAGGATCTGCCTCTGTGCAGCTTAACCCTAGTCCTGAGATGCATGGGTGTGGGAGAGTCAAACTCAGGTCCTCATGCTTATTCAGTTAGCACTTTACTCACTAAGACATCTTCCCAACCCTTCCTCATAATTTCTGAAGTAGGAGATGTGCATTTTCCCTTAGCAGTGGGGCCCCTAAATAATGTAGCTGTTCCTATTCAGACTTAACTAAGACATCAGGGCAGCAGAATCCTCCCATTCTGCAAATCTCAAGCAGATCTATGGGAATGAAAAGCAAGGTAGAGACCCTAATTTCAAGGTTCATCCTCATGAGATCAAAACAATCTGAGGACTGCAGGAAGCTGGAAAGTGTAATGGTATGAATTTGTTGGATTAAAATTCATTTTAAAAATTAAGTAATCACAACAATGACGGATGGTGCTATTGGTCACTATATGTCAGAGAAGCCATGATCCATTAAACAGAGCAACAAGCCCAGCCCCCTGGCCAAGCTTGAAATACCATTATTGAATTCTTTGTTTAGATTCTGCCAGGAACATGGGTATCTGTCAGACCTGGGCATCATCTATCTTCTCTGCCACATTTAGCAGCCTTACTCTGTTCCTACCATCACCCCAGGTCCCAGCCTCGCTTTCCTACCTGCCCTCTCCTTTCTGCTCCCATCATCCAAGTCCTCAAGTTGTACTTGCAGTCCCAGGCTGAAGCCATTCGGTCTGAATTTTCTCCCTCCGTCCTTTTGGGCCACTCACATGTTGAAGAATCTTAACTTCCTCATTCACTTGCCTCTGAGAACTGCCACCCTGAAGGTCACACATTATGGCTCTGGGTTTTCTCTGCCTGACCCCATAAAAGCAGGGCCACGTTGGAGACTCCAGACAACTGAGAGTTTTATATTTGAGGGCCCTTGTTCCATCATAATTATTTTTAAAATTATAATAATTGTTTTGAAATTATTGTTGGTTTAAATCTAGTATAATAGCCTGGATTGTATTTCTTTAGGATGTTATCTTAAGATCCTTGAATGCATTGTCCTTGGTCTCTATGTCTGGCAAACTCTGGGTATGATGTCTCTGGATCCTTCTGAGAAGTTGGCAGTGCTTGAAGTGTAAGTTTGAAGAGTAAGTAAAACCACAAGTAGCCTTTTCTCCATGTGACCCTATTCTACAGATATCCTTTGCAAAACAGTATAGCATAGTGAATATTTTTACGAAAAATCTCATAATCTTGGATCCTGATTTTTTTGATAGGGTCATGGCTGATCTAGATTCCTGTCTAGGTATGAAGCTTTTGTTTGCAAGTTAGTTATGTATTTATGCAGTTTTATATTCTTTTTCTACTTAACATGATCTTATTGAAGGAGTTTTTCATGTTACTATAGTCTTGTGCCTAGCCATTCAGTGGACTTAGGAAGGTGGGCCAACTTTCTCCTGTCAGTTTCTCAGTTCTTTTCTGGCTGCTTTTATTGCTTCATCATATTCCATGGTCTGGGTCAGTTAATTTTTCTGTACCCCTCCCCCCTTAGGTTGTCTGGTTCATGACTTCAGTGATTGTGAACTTTGAAGATAGAGTTCAGTGACCTGTATGTAACAATATCGTTCATGTACCTTTACACCTCATCACTTCCTGTGAGACCAGCTAGGTCATGAGCCAAGATCTTGTTAAACTCTGTATTCCAGGTATAGGACCCAGTTGTCAGAGTCTGAGGGGTACTAGATCAGTCCAATTCTACTGTATTACACATAAGGAACCTGAGACTTGAACTGGAAGTGGTTAATAGACTTTGGTGTCTAGTTTTAAGTGAACTTGACACAAATTATATTTATCTGTGAGTAGGGGACCTCAATTGAGAAAATGTCTCTATAAGATAAGGCTGCATGCCAGCCTATAGTATGTGATTGATGTAGTGATGGATGAATGGTTGGGGAGACTATTTTTGGTGGTACCACCCTGGCTGGTGGCCCTGGGTTCTGTAAGAAAGCAGGCTAAGCAAGCCAGAGGAGGAAGCATTCCTCCATGTAAGTAGCACTCGTCCATCGCCTCTACATTAATTCCTGTCTCTTGGTTCCTGCCTTGAGTTCCTTGGTCTCTTGGTCCCAGCTTGAGTTCCTGCCTTGGACTGTGGTTTAGGAAATGAAAGCCAATAAACCCTTTCCTCCCCAAGTTGCTTTTGGTCATGGTGTTTAAGCACAGCAATAGTAACCCTTATTAAGACAAGATTTGGCCATGGCCATAAGGCCAATGAGAAGGGATACGAGACCTGGTCCCTTAATCTCCAAAGATGTATACTGTACCTGAATATTCCCATGAACCCCTCTTCTTGCAATATCACCATTCAATATACTTCTCTCTGAGTCGCCAAGAGGAACTTTAGTCATCACGGGAATGGGTGCTGATAGAATTAGCTTTACAATGACCTTGTTCCTATTTTATCTTACCTTTGGGCTCATAGGAAGAAAGAAGAAAAACAGAAGTACAATTTTCTTTTACTTAGTTCAAACTTTGAAATTATCTGTTCTGTTAGAGGCAGAGTGCTGAGCTGATTCACAGTCCCACAGTGGTTTAAAGCCTTTGTTTTCTCAATGGTCACTTCTTCTTTGGGAAGGTTCTCTAGTTTGTTACCAAGGTTTCCAATAGTCAAATCAATTGATCTTACCTGTTCAGAGATAAGGAGCAGATCAGTTTTTGTCCCAAAATAGCCAGGCCAACATTGGTACTTGCAACCTGAAGATGAGAAGGCCCTTGTTACTGATAAGAGTGGCTTCTATTTCGACAAGTATAATCTCCCATCACAAGCCCAAAGTTTGCTATTATTCCAAAGATGTTGGCAAGAAACATCTCTACATCTGGGCAGGGCAGCATATGAGTGTCAATAGTACTTGAAAGGGTGAGGAAGGAGGAATGAGAGGTGCCATGTATGAGAGAGGCCAGCCTGGGCTACATGGAGATCCTATTTAAAACCAAACAAATGAATGGCTCAGAAAATACTGTCTCGCAGGGGAAGAAGCTAAGTGTAAAGGTCTGTTCTTTGAGAATTCTTGTAAATTAATCTTTGACAGTGCTGTGGATTAAACCCAGAGTGTTATACATGGTAGGCAAGCAGTCTACCACTGAACTACATCCCCAGTCTCCTCTTCAGTTTTGCTTTCTCCTAATGGCTCTTCTCCTCATTCATGTGCATAATTTTGTTTAGTTTCCCTGTACTATTTTAAACTTTAACTGGTCAGGGAAACTTCACTTAATTATAGCTCTCTATTGTAAACAGAAGAGAACATAGGAAGTAGAGATTGGTGAGATATTTTACATGCAGTTTCAGGAGCTCTTCTCTCTCAATATACGGCCTCTTCCAAATATGGGCAGGTGGGTCTTTTTTTTAAGACAGACCCAGTATCTATATCTTCACTCTTAATTTACTCCAGACATTGAGAGGCTGCTGGCCAGTTCACAGCAGGAGCAGGATTGGTGCTCAGAGGCTGTGCTCCTGTATCCCCAAACTCACAAAGTCCATGGAGACGATGGGCTTGATGGTGGAGTTCTCCAATTGTGTGAGCATGATGACAGAAGCAGGGAACTCCAGGCTGAAATTGTTTGGGTGTAAATCAATAACAGGAGGCCCTGTGGCCATGATCTGCAGCATAAATGGCTGGGATAAGACGTAGATCTCTGCAATCTGTCTCGTTCAGGGAGAGAAACAGATCGAGAATCAGATATAATGAGGGGAAACCACAAACCTGGGGTTGCTTATGCTAAGTAAATCTTGTATCATGCAGTTAGATTATGAAGCACTAGGAATAACAATACTCAAACTATAGCTATCACAACAGTTGACATTTGCTGAATACATTCTTTGTGCCAGCAACAACCTCAGGGACTTTATTATCTCTTATTTAGTCTTCATAAAACTCCAAGGCAGTAGTTCCATATTATTTTTATTTTATCTATCTGTCTGTCTTTCTATAAATCCATTCATCCATCCATCCATCCATCCATCCATCCATCCATCCATCCATCCATCCATCCACCCAATCCATCCATCTACCTATCTGTCTCTCTCATCTATCTATCTGCTATTTACTTATTGGTTTTTCAAGACAGGGTTTTTCTGTTTAGCCCTGCCTGTCTTGGAACTCACTCTGTAGAGCAGGTTGGCCTCAAACTCACAGAGATCCACCTGCCTCTGCATGTGCCACCCGCCAGACAGTAGTGCAGTTTTATAAAGGAGTGTGAGTTGTAGACAGGCTAAGTGCTTTTTCCATAGTTCTCACAGAATAAATTTTGGAACTGAAATTCAAACTAACATTGTCTGCCTTGAGTGCCTTTCTCTGAAGCATCTTGGCCTTTTAAGGCAAACTTGAGCCTGTAGATCCATTATGAATGATACTTGGAATGCTATGAAGCGGTAATATTAACAGTTGTTTACCAAAGTCACGTGTGATCCCAGTACTTGGGATGCTGAGAAAGGAGGATCAAAAATTAAGGGCCAGCCTGTGTAAAATATTGAATTCCAGACCAGATTACATAGGGAGACCTTATCTAAGAGTGAATGAATGAAAGAGTGAGTGAATGAATGAACGAATGTATAACTTAAGGATCAAATGTTTCATTTAAATCAGTACTTTCTATATTTAAGCACATTATTTTAAGGATGATGGAATTTTGTGGATTGGTTATTTTATGAATCTATAATTCTTTTAGTTGTACTTTTAAAATTATTATTTATACAATGTTCTGCCTGCAAGTGTGCTTATATGTCAGAAGAGGGCACCAGATCTCATTATAGATGGTTGTGAAGCACCATGTGGTTGCTGGGAATTCAACTCAGGACTTTTGGAAGAACGGTCAGTGTTTTTAACATCTGAACCATCTCTCCAGCCCCCTTTAGTTGTACTTTAAGAGGACTTATTTAGTAAATATTTTCAGATATTTAACCAAGAGGAAAAATTCTTGTAGGATAGAAAGATGGCCAAGAAGGGTGGTATACACCTATAATCCCAGTATATGGGAGGCTGAGGCAGGAAAATTGTACATTTATCTATTGCATATTGAGACACTGTTAAGAAATGAAGGAGGTGGAGGAAGGTAGAGGATGAGGAAGAAGAGAAGGAAAGCAGGAAAAGTAAAAGTAAAAAAGAATAAACAGATGGATTGACACATGCTTGTATCAAAGAGAATATAGAGAATCTGAGAGTCTCCTGGAAGGAACTTTAGTGACAACATTACCTCTGAGGAGTGAAATTTGAGAGCTCACCTTGGAGAGCACACTGCCAATTCCTTGAGTATTTTGACTGAAATAGTTGGAAATCTAGGATAGAAAAAAGTACTGCATCACTGTAAGATTTTTATCCGGGTTTTTTCTTCAGGTAAATGTAGAATTCTCTCTAATGTGTACTGTGAAGAAGTGGAGCCACAAAATACTTAGATAACCTCATTTTATAGCCCAGCCTTGGGAAATCTGGGGCCCAGAAAGGCAAGAGACTTGGACAAAATCACATCCCTTTTGAGAAACCCTCCAGTCCCTGGAAAACACTGTGTCATATATGCACAAGCTGTATGCAAACATTCTACAGTCATTATTGGTAAATCTCAAGTCACTGTTCTCATTTTCAGAGATCCCCAAAGCATAAGTTGTTTAAGTAATTTATATGATGAGCATTTTTTTCAATGCTATGGCACCTGGTGCTGCTGTCCTCACCATACCGAACACAAGGCTTATAGTAATGTGTACAATTATGATGCACAGAAAGTAAAGATTTTAAAATGGGTGTTTTTGTTGTTGTTGACTAGCCAGAGAGGTGTTCTTGTTATAAAAGAGAAGCACATGGCAGGGAGAATCAATGAGTATCTGTACCATTACTGCTTGCTGGTGTAAATCAGTTGTAATTACCAACAGTAGAAATTCATATGTGGCAGAATGCAAGGAATGATGGTGATGGTGGTCATGGTGATGATAATAATGATATAACCCAGAAGCAACAATTGCAGAGCACTTACTTTGTACTAAGATTGTTCTGGAAGACATATGTTTAAACCCTTTAATGACCATTATGACCCTAAGGGTATGGGACTCTGAACCCTCTTTCTCAGATGAGGAAACCAGCATATAGAAACAGGATGAACTGATCAAAGGTCACAGATAATAAGCAGTGGAGAGATGTCTTTGTATTCATTAAGATTATTCTAGAATAGTTGCTAGACACCATGAAGAAGACTAAATTAGCAGAACTGGAAACCCTGCAATTCCCTCCCCCCAAAAGTCCACAATGCGCCAAAAAAAAAAGTCCATAATGGGCCATTATTTAAAAGAAAAGTTAAAGATGGTGGCCACAGCCACCATCCCAGGGCTTTACTTACCTCCTTGGTGGACAGCATGGCACCAAGAGCCCCCGATACAAAGTGCGCAAAGGATGCAGATTTAAAGAAGTACTCGGAGATGCCAATGTAGAGCATGGAGTCCCTGTTCTTTGGGAGCTCAAAGGGAGCTGGTAGGAAGGGAGGGTCAACGAGGCTTTCCAGTGGGTAGAATGCACCCTGTGGAAAGCAGAAAGGAAGACCAAGTAATCAGGTGAAAATGCAAAAGTATCAGACAAGTTCGGACCTCTCAAGTCAGGATAAAGAAAATCCCAGCTGCCTCTTGATAACATGATGAGGTCTTTAGGCTCTTTAGCTAATGGCTATGTTTCAAAGCTCTGGGCTTAAAAAAATATTTATTTTAAATTATATATATGTGTGTGAGTATGTGCATGTGAGTACAGGTGCCCTTAATAAACAGAGGCATTGGACCTCCTAGAACTTGAATTACAGGAAGTTGTGAGTCACCTGATGTGGATGCTGGGAACAGAACTGAAGTTCTCTGGAAAAGCAGTACATATCCTCAACAGCTGAGCTATCTCTTCAGCACCAGAGCTCTGGAGATTTCTGACATATCTGTGTGTATCTGTTCACTCTCAGGTATCACTCCTGGAGAAGCTCCTACCTGGAACTTTTCTTAGACAAAGGGGTCTAAGGTGCACATCTGGATACTCATGAAATAGCCTTTTAATGTACTAGCTCTTTTCCTTTAAAACACATGACTACTGAATAACTGCGGGGCCAAAGAGGTACTTAGGAGAGAGAGACTCCAAATGACTTAATGAAGCAATTTTGAGACATGCTTAATCCTGGTCTTATTAGATATTGGGCATTCTTAGGTCTTGAACGGTACTTAACTGTTTGGAAAGATGGTGAATGAAGGAAATATAAACTAATTTTTATTCTAAAAATCTATGTCAAGTATAGTGGCACATGCCTTTAATCCTAGCATTTGGGAGGCAGAGACAGACAGATCTCTGTGACTGTAAGGCCAGTTTGGTCTGCATAGTGACTTCCAGGACAGCCAGAGGTACATAGTGAGATCCTATCTCAGAAAAAAAAAAAAAAAAGACTGTGATGTTAATTTGGATAGGAGTAAACATAAGTAAAATGATGCTTTTCCAGGGTCAGTAACCACAATTTCTATATACTTAGGATTTCTGTAAAGGTCAGTAGCCTCAGGGAAACCTTCACAATCCACTGATGTGCTAAACTCCTCATGCATGCATGAGTATGTGGTGTGTTCATATGAATGTGTGGCACATGGGCATGTGTGTATATCTGCATGTGTGTTTGTGTGTGTGAGAGAGAGTACATGTGTTTGTTTGTGTAGTCCAGAGGTTGATGTTGAATGTCTTCCTTAATCACTCTCTATCTTATTTTTTTAGTCAGGGTGGCTTGCTGAACCTGGAATTTGAGGTTCACCAGCAAGCCCCAGGGATTGTGCTATCTTTGCCTCCCCATGTATTTCATCATGCCTGTCCTTTATCTGTATAGGCTTTAGGAGATTGAGCCTAGGTCCTCATGCCTGTGTAGCAAGTACTTTACCAATGGAGCTATCATTGCCTCAGCACCTCCTGATGTGTTAGGTTCTAATAAATGTGGATCATTGTACTTGTAGGCTCTTAGCCTTGAATCTTTCGTAGGAGGCAAAATGTTTTTCTCTTCCTTCCTTCCTTCCTTTCTTTTTTTCTTCCTTTCTTTCTTTCCTTTCTTTCTTTCTTTCTTTCTTTCTTTCTTTCTTTCTTTCTTTCTTTCTTTCTCTCTCTTTCTTTCTTTCTCTTTCTTTGTTTCTTTCAGTTTTCTTTTTTAATTAAATTTTATTTTTTATATTAATTACAGTTTATTCACTTTGTATCCCAGCTGTAGCCCCCTCCCTCCCTCCCTCATGATATTTCTCACCCAGAAGACTGGTGAAATGCCAGTCAAAGGCTGGGCAATGGGGCAGTCCTCAGAAGTGTCTGCTTAGTTGATCTACTGAAGAGCCAGGGAGCAATCATGTCAGCTTCCAGAAAGTCTAGTTCTTGAAAAATTACATGCCTCATGGGAAAGTGGTCAATAGATTTCTCCTTTTAAGACCCTGTAACACGTGGCTTGAGGCCAATCCAGGTGGCAAATTTTGGGGAATGGCTCTGACCAGAGTTCATCTCATTATTTACTATCTAATACGGCTTGCTTTAACTTTGGCCTAAAATGGTGGAATTGGTTTTTCTGGCGAATCTCAGGATTAACAGCAGGTAGTATAGGAAATGAATTGCTTGAAGAGCATACATGTACATTTTCTTCTGTACATAATCTATCTTCCAAATATTCATTATAGCTCTAGAATGATTGTTACCTTCAAATTCAAGTCAAGGTAGTTCTCAGTGATTTCTGGAGGACTGATCAGGGAACAATCCAGCACAGTATAGTTGTCAATCTTGGTTAAAACTAAATAATCAAAAAAGAAAATAAAAGAAAAGTTGTGTTCATTAAAAGCATAATGAATGAATGTTTGAAACACCAATTCTCCACATTTACATATGAAAACTCAGAAAGACAAGCTAAGAGAAAAAAGTAAATATTTTTCTCAAAAATCAGAGAAATATTAGCAAAATGTTGGCACTTTTTATGTATGTGTCCACAGAACATTGACTCGCACAATGCATGTGTGGTCCTTTTTTAAATTTTTTAAATTTTATTATTATTGTGTGTATGTGTGTGTCATGTGTGATTGTGGCTACACACATGTTATGTGCATGTGTGGAAGTCAGAGAACAACTTTTGGGACTGGTTTTCTCCCTTTCACCTTTATATGGGTTTTGGGGCTTGTGTGGAAAGCACTTTTTCCACTGAGCCACCTCACTGGCACTTACTGTCCTGTTTTTAAAAATTGATTGATTCATTAATTGTGTGCCTATAAGAGTGTGTGGTAGGTAATGAGAGGACAACTTGTATGAGCTGACTCTCCACAAAATGGGTCCCAAGAATTAAACTCAGGCTGTCAGGTGGTAGTAGGCAACCACACCTGAGTCATCTCACAGGCTCAACACTTGCATTTTTAAGAAGAAATTAACAAAAAGGCCAAAGGTGTATACACACCTCTGCTTTTGCTCCTTTAGATCCAATACTCCCAGCTCTGTAGCAGAAAACCTGCTTCAGTCTCCCTTTCTTCTCTAACCTCATTCCCAATGGATCACAAAGATCTTCCCCAACTTTCCTTCCCCCAACTTATCCCAGTATCCAAGTCTCCAACACCAGCAGGCATTCACTGGGAATACACCAGCTGAGAAGGAGAGCCAAACAGGTAGGCTAACTGAAGACCTTCACCACAGCCTCCTCACCTACAAATCCAACCCCTAAGGCTTATCCCCGTCTCTCTAACAAAATAACAGGTGAAGCCTCCCTTCCTGAATGCCCACATCTTCAGTGGATCCCACAGACCAATCTCCTCCTAACCTCCCTCCCTAACTCTTTGTTTTATCCCAGCCCCCAACTCCAGCAGACACTCCCTGCTAACCCACCAGAACATACCTGTCAGAAAACCAGGTAGGCTGTCTGCAGAGCTTCTCTTTTTCCTCTGTTCTCCCAGATCTAATCCCTCAGTCTCATCCCCATTTCTGTAGCAGAACACCTATGGCAGCCTTTCCTGGCCCCCGCTCCCATCTCCTGTGGATTCCAGTGATCTCCCCTTCTAGCCTCTCTCCCTCCTACTCATTGCTTTGTACTAGTCCCCAACGCCAGCCAGCACTCCCTGCTAATCTAAGGACTGCTTCTTCCAGAGCAACAGGTAGGCTAAAGACCCATACCTTTCCTACCGCTCCTCCAGCTCCAATACCACCAGTTTCATCCTCTGCTCTGAAGCAGGAAACCTGCTGTGATCTCCCTTTCCTCTCTAACCCCATCCTCAGAAGATCACAAAGATCTTCTCCTCCAACCTCGCTTCCCCTAATTCATCCCATTATCTCAGGCTCCAGTACCAGGAGGCATTCCTTGTGAACACACCAGCCAAGCAGACCAGTAAATCAGGCAACACACAGCCATCACACTCTCTGAAAATCCAGAGAGGAAACAGAAATCAAAGAACAAAACTCCCATCCAACACACACAAACACAGACCTATAATCACTCCAAACTAAGATGCCTAGAGGCGAGCATAAGAAGGCAGTGAATAACACCCAGAGCCCAGCTATCTGTCATCACAGGAGGCCAAGAATATTCCAACATAGCTGAAGTGCAAGAAAAAGACCTTAAAACCAACTATATGAAGATAGAAGGAAAAAAAAATGAATAAATCCCTTAAAGAAATCAAGGAAAACATAAACAATGGGAGGAAATAATTAAACTGTTCAAGACTTGAAAATGGAAATGGAAACAAAGAAAATATAAAGTGAGGGAATTCTGGAAATGAAAAATTTAGGAATATAAGCAGGAACTACAAAGACAAACTTCAACAGAATGCAAGAGACAGAAGAGTCTTTCAGGCATTGAAGATACAATAGAAGAAACAGATATATCAGTCAAAGAAAATGTTAAATCTAAAAAAAAAAAAATCTTGAACAAAACATCCAGGAAATCTGGGACATTATAAAAAGACCAAACCTCAGAATAATAGGAACAGAGGAAAGAGAAGTATCCCAGCTTAAAAACCCAGAAAATACTTTTAACAGAATCATTGAAGAAAATTTTCTCAACCTAAAGAAGGAGATGCCTATCAAAGTATAATAAGCATACAGAACACTAAATAGATTGAACCAGAAAATAAAGTCCTCTCACCACCTAATTAAAACACTTGCCAGGCATGGTGCAGCACACATGTAATCCCAGCACTCAGGAGGCAGAGGCAGGCAGATCTCTGCAAATTTGAGGCCAGCCTGGTCTACAAAGTGAGTCCAGGACAGCCAAGGCTACACAGAGAAACCCTGTCTCAAAACAAACAAACAAACAAACAAACAAACAACAAAACGAAAACCTAAATGTACAGAACAAAGAAATAATATTAAAAGTTCTAAAGTAAAAACAAAACCCAATTAACATATAAAGGCAGGCATATTAGAATTATACCTTATTTCTCAATGGAGACTCTAAAAGCCAGAAGGTCCTGGATAGACATGCTGCAGGTTCTAAGGAACCAGAGATGCCAGCCCAGATTACTATACCGAGCAAAACTTTCAACCAGCATAGATGGAAAAATAATATATTTAATAATAAAGCCAACTTTACACAATATCTATCTAGAAATCCAGCCCTATAAGGTGCTAGTGGCTATTGCAGGTCAGATAGAATCCAGATAAGTACTACCAATCAACAGCCTAGGTTTCCCACCTATTGTCTATTTCAGAGGGTAGGATCCCTCCCCCTTTCCCTAGTTTTGGGACTCCCCTCTCCCAGCTACAAAAACCATGGGTCCAAAAGTTTTAAATGAATAAACCCCCATTTTTTTCCCTGACCTACTTAACATTGTCTTTTGATCCTATATATGTTCCAGTATCCTGTCCCATCCATGTGTTTCCTACATCCACAACAGTGCCAAAGCAACATCCACAAGTGATTCAGTCTAAACTTGAAGATTATATCAGATGGACTTGCATTTCCCCTCCTGGCCACACATGTTCTCAGATCCTGGACAGCAGTAAAACAGCTGACTCTCCTAGGACTTCGCCAGCTCTGTGACACCCTCCCCCCCTTTACGGCCCCAAAGATGTCTTGCTCTCAAGTCAGCAAAAAGCAGACTTTTCTGAACACATTTTCATTCCCACCTTGCCATCCCTTCCTAGTTCCTCACTTTTTTAAAAAATTAAACAAAAAGGGAAGATTGTTATTTTGATAGCCTGCTTCTAAGTTGCCTAGCAACCTCTGACATCATCTGCCCCTGCTGCCAGGTATATGCCAGGTGTATGCTGGATAAAAAGGATCTGCCTCAGGCTCTAAGAGCAACAATCGATAAATGGGACCTCATGAAGCTGAAAAGCTTCTGTAAAGCAAAGGACATACTCAACAAAATGACAGCCTACAGATTGTGAAAGGATCTTCACCAACCCTATATCTGACAGAGGGCTGATATCCAGAATTATAAAGAGCTAAAGAAGTTAAAAAGCAGCAAATCAAGCAATCCGATTAAAAAATGGGGCACAGAGCTAAACAGAGAATTCTCAGTAGAGGAATACAGAATGGGAGAGAAACACCTAAAGATATGTTTAACGTCCTTAGCCATCAGGGAGATGCAAATCAAAACAACCCTGGGATTTCACCTTACACCCACCAGAATGGCTAAGATCAAAAACTCAAGTGACAACACATGCTGGAGCGGTTGTGGAGAAAGGGGAACCCTCCTCCATTGCTGGTGGGAATGTAAACTTGTACAACCACTTTGGAAATCAATCTGGCGCTTTCTCAGACAGTTAGGAATAGTGCTTCCTTAAGATCTAGCCATACCACTCCTAGGCATATATCCAAAAGAGGCTCAAGTATACAATAAGGACATTTGCTCAACCATGTTTGTAGCAGCTTTATTTGTAATAGCCAGAAGCTGGAAACAGCCCAAATGTCCCTCAACGGAGGAATGGATACAGAAATTGTGGTACTTTTACACAATGGAATACTATTCAGCAATTAAAAATGAGGAAAGCATGAAATTTACAGGCAAATGGTGGGGCCTAGAAACGATCATCCTGAGCGAGGTATCCCAAAAGCAGAAAGACATGCATGGTATATACTCACTTATATAGATCTATAAGATGGGATAAACATACTGAAATCTATACATCTAAAGAAGATAAACAAGAAAGAGGACCCAGGGTACGATGATCAATCCTCACTTAGAAAGACAAATGGGATGGACATTGAATTTAGGAGCAAACAAGTAACAGGACAGGAGCCTACTACAGAGGGCCTCTGAAAAACTCTACCTAGCAGTGTATCAAAGCAGATATTAAGACTTATAACCAAACCTTCGGCAGAGTGCAGGGAATCAAAAAAAAAGGGGGGGGGAGTTTCACAAGGACCAAATATATCTGGGCACAGGAGTCTTTTATGAGACTGTTTCTCCAAACAAGGACCATGTATGGATGCAACCTAGAGGCTCTGCTCAGATGTAGCCCTTGGTAGCTCAGTATCCAAGTGGGTACCCGAATAAGGGGAAGAGGGACTGTTTCTGACATGAACTTGATGGTCCTCCCTCCCCCCCAGGGAGGAGCAGCCTTGCTAGGGCACAGAGGAGGACTTTGCAGCCAGTCCTGAAGACACCTGATAAACCAGTATCAGATGGAAGGGGAGGAGTTTCTCCCTTATCAGTGGACTTGGAAAGGGGCAGGGAGGAGATGAGGGTGGGAGGATGGGATTGGGAGGTAGTGGGATACAGCAGGGACACAAAATTAACAAACTGTAACTAATATTAAAAAAATAAAAATTAAAAAAAAAAAAAGAATAAACATTGGAGGAATCCAAGATGGTGGCGACCAGCATGCACTGTAGCTGAGGGCCTGAGAATCTGAAACTCTGAAATTGGTGAGTGGAGGGGAAGCTGAACCCAGAACAACTATATCAAGGCTGCCCGGGAGAAAGGAGACAAACCCTGAACTGAGACCAATAGGACACAGGTCAACTGTGGACTTCTGTGCAGACTTCTCCTGGGGACTCAATTTCCAGGCACTTCCCCTTTTAGGGTCTGAGGCAGTAGGCAGAGACAGCTCAGGCGGCCTGCAGTACAAGTAGCTCATAGCACAGAACACAGTGCTGGCTTCTCCTAGTACAGAACACCCTGCTTGAGACAGAGGAGTTGTCTCCTGTGCCAATGAGTTCAAGGCTCTTCATCACTTTTTCTTCTAACAGGTTTAGTGTGTCTGGTTTTATATTATTTTCAATAAAATATAATTGACAGGACTTAAAAAAAAAGGACCTGCTTATCATCCTATGCTCTCTCTTATCCCTCTTCCTTTTATACTTTGCTTAATACTCTGTATGTTGGGTCTGAAGACTTCTTCCAAGTTCTAGAGGCAGGTACCCAAACATTACCAGAATTTCATGAAAGAATTCCTTCTTTCATATCTTTTTTGGGTTGTGCTATAGATGGGGATGAGAAGTGGCTTGCTAAGTTAGTAAAAACATAGTGTTATCCTATGTCACTATGGCTTTTAAATTTTTTACATTTTTTTGTATTTGTGCATGTGCATATGTGTACCACATGTGTGCAGGTGCCCACAGAGGCCAGAAGAGGGAATCAGGATTCCTGGAACTGGACTTAACAGGTGGTTATGTGCTACCAGATGTGGATGCTGAGAACCAAACTTGAGCACACTGCAAGAACAACCAGTGTTCTTAGTCACAGTGTCATATCTCCAAGTGTATCTTTTTAAATGTTCTTAAAGGGCCCAACCTAGGGGCTGGAGAGATGGCCCAGAACACTGGCTCTTCATCCAAAGGTCCTGAGTTCAAGTCCTAGCAACCACATGGTAGCTCACAAACATCTATAGTGAGACCTGGTGCCTTCTTCTGGTGTGTAGGCATACATGCAGACAGAATGCTGTATATTAAGAAAAAGTCCCCAACCTAAATAGATCCCATCATTCCTATAAAAGGATCAGGACAAGGGTTCCTTACAAAGTAGGCAGTAAAACTTGGGGTGAAGATACTAGCTCGAGGTACACAGCACATGGCACTTTTCTAGTTCTTTTTTCTTTGCATCCTTTTGTTTCCTTCCTTCCAATCCACTCTCTTCCTTTTTTTTTTAAATTTTTTTCACTCTCTTCCTTTCTATCTGCATCCACTCATCTGTCCTCTGTCCCACTGTCCATTTCCTTTTATCCCTTCATCAATTCAGTTTTTATTGGCCTGTGCCTGAGATAGAGGGAAGTTCCTGGGAAATCAGAGTCTGAGGAGCAGAGGACAGACATGACCATGAAATTATAACCCAGTACAGGAAGAACATTCCTGAAGCTGATCTGAAGATCTGACCACAAAGTTTTCTTCTGCCTCAGGGTAAAAACCTGAGGTCACTCCTGAATACTCCCATTACCCATGTTTGACCTGTTGGCCCTTACTACTATCTACTTGCAAGGTATGCACAGAATAGGAAATGCCTTCCCTCTCTGTCACTCTGCCAGGCTAGTTGCAATCCTTGCTTATATGGGTCATTGTTCTATTCTGTTAAATGGTCTCCCTGCTGTCAGCTCCCTCCTCCTTCCTGTTTATTACTTTCTTGGACACCAGAGTGACTGTCTCAGACTAAGAAATAGACTGTGCAGTGTCTCAGATCCCTGACAAGTCTACCCTCCCACTCCCCGACCTGCATTTCATTTCTTGAACTCCCCTCAACCATGTCCTTCTTCTGGTCTTAGCATGGTCTCATAGTCCCTCTAATGTACTCAGCACATTCCTGCTTCAGGGTCTTTGAGCATGTAATCTATTCTACCTGACTGTTCTTCATGCAAGCTATGATTTGAACATCCCTCTAAAGCTTAGCACATTTAAATTTAATTACCATTATGATGGGTATTGGGAAGTGGGATATTAAGAGGTGACCAGGCCATGGGGCAATGCCTTTTGGAATAGTCTGTGACTGTAAGAGTGTGGTTGTTACAAATTTGACTGGATTTCTTCTTTGTTTCATGTGTACTCACTTGCCCTTCTGCCACATTGTGATTCAGAGTGGAAACCTTTACCAGATATAACTTCTTAATCCTGGTATTTTCATCCTCTAGAACCATGAGAAAAAAAAAAAACTTTTCTATTGTTTATAATTCACCCAGACTCTGGTATTCTATCACAACCACAGAAAAAGGACCAAGATAATCTAGATTGGGAGCAGCTCCCTCCCCTGTTTCTTCAGGTTCTTCCTTTAATGTCATCTGCTTACTAGTGTTTCCTAGTCACACCATCTATAAAAAGAAACTCCACTTCAGCTCCTCCCTTTTTTCCTTATCAGTCTTAATTTCCCTAATACAGGTTTTACTTGCTGGTTTACTGCTCCCTCCCTGTAGTCCCATGAAAATGGGAGTTCTGTTTCCTAGGCTTTCTCAATTTTCAGCACTGAGATCAGTGCTCAGGTGATTCTAAGTGCTCTTTGTACACCACCAGTGAGCAAGTGGCAGGGATGCAAAGATAGGCATGTGTAAAGTAGCATGCAAGAGCAGGCATCACTGTGGGTGTGGAAGGGAGGATCTCTTAAAAAGGGGTGAGAAAGGAAGTAGAAGTACATGCCTCGCTAGAGAAGGAAAAGGGAAGAGATGAAGCCAAAAGAGGTAGAGACTGAAGGAGTACTGATGTGTGGACCCCATACATACTGAAGGCAGATCCTGAAGGCATTAGAGAAGGCTAGGCAGATAACCTGGTCAAGAAGATGAATTTAGTGCCAAAGGTTGGATTAGAACCAGGAGGGTTTTTCTCCCTAGCTCCCCCATTTATCACTGTGAACCATCTCTCAGCTGCAGTAACAGAGCTGGTTAGTAGCCAAGGCGTATATGTGCTATGACAGGGCTTGTTCCATAAATATATGGAGCGCTGGGACATTTATTTTTCAGGCATTAAAAAAAATATCAGAGTGATGAATGAGCACTTTTTTGCCAAAAACAAAAACAAAAAAGCCCCCGGTAAGGTTTGAACCTGGGTAGAGCACCATCTAGAAGATAGTTCTAAGACTCACCCTCCAGTGTGCTGAGGTTGACACTGAGTGCTTCCACTTCATTGATGGCAATGGGACAGAGCTAGACCAAAAGAATTTTTGAAAAATCATGTTATCATATTGAAAATAAGCCTTCTGCTTAGTAGACATTATCCCTGTGGCCATGGCAATGCTCCTTTAAGTTTCCTGATGCTCTTGGTCTTCAGACACCACATGTATGGGCAGTGTTTTCAGGTTGAGCTTCATAGCAACTGAAACCACACCCAATTAGCCCCATAAAAGAGCTTTGCTTTCCTCTCTAGACAGGTTAAGGCATGTGCTCTGTCCATGCTGTTGGCGTCATACCAGAGGAACCTGCTCCCAAAGCAGCTGTTTCTTTCCTGCCTGCCTGCCTCCCAGTACATTGTAGCTCTAAGTCCTGCTTGGAGTGGCTTCAGTTGGAACCTTCACTTTCACCTAGACTAATTGAAGAGACCATGAAATCCATTTAGGACTCTATTATCCCCTCTCCTTCTCCTATCCTTGACAAATGGTCTCATGCAGCTCAAAACCTTTGGATTTACTAAGTAGTGTAAGATGACCTTGAAGTTATGATATTTCTGCCTCCACTTCCCAGGTACTGTGTGTGCCTCAGACACAGTTTATATGGTGCTAGAGATCAAGTCCAGGACTTCATGCATGCTAGACAAGCTCTTCACCAAATAAGGACATCCCCAGCCATCTTTCTACATTTCTGAAGGTGGTGGATGACAGTAAAATAGATTCCAGAGAGAAACGGTTCAGTTACAAACACTGATGTGTCAGCCCTGTGCTCATCAGTGCTCATGCAGCACGGTGGCTTTAGCAGGGGCTAGGCAGCCAGGGCCTTAGAGTGAAAAAACACTGGTCATTTCCTTTCTGAGCTAAGTTTCCTCATCTGCAACATGGGGATAATTATTACATGTACCTTATCAATTTGTGAGGAGAAACTGAAATAGTCTAGAGAATACTGCCTTGCTTGCACTCTGTATTTGGTAAATCTGTTGCTGCCTTTTTTGAGACAAGATCTCATGTAGCCCAGGCTAGCTTCAAACTTACTATATAGCTGTAAATGGCCTTGAAATTCTGATCCCCCTGTCTCCACTTCCCAACAGCTGGAACTATAGGCATGCTCAGCCACATTGTGGAGCTGGCTGGGGACAAAACACATGGCATTGTGCATGCTGCATGAGTAGTTTAACAACTGATCTATACTCCTAAGCCCTAATTCGTATTCACTGGCCTTCTATAAGGGACCAAAGGACCACACTCTATTGAAAACACTATTTCCAAATTCCTTTTCAAGGTCTATATTTCACTGTCAGTGGCCACCTGCCAGATGGCTATAAAAGAAGGCCCACAAAGCTTCAGGGTACCTTGCCCAGCTCTACAGTCTCCTTGGGCAAGCTGCTTCATGCTTTGGAGTGCGTGTGTGATTTTCTCAAGGACAATCTTAAATACCTGCTATCTACCAGACACAGAGCTAAGTACTGGGATTATGAACGTGCCAAGATCCCTCCTCACCTTTCTTTTCCACCTCCTTTCATCCATGTCCTTAATTCCTCCAAAATATGAGAAAGGTATCCAGGATAAGTATAGTGAGGAAAAGAATGAGGGAGCATGGCAAATTCCACCTTTCCTTCCTTCAAACCCTGATTTCTGGAATCATGACATTTAATGTTGTAGGAGGCAAACTAATATATTATGTCTTTTAAATGCATTGTTAATGTATTTCTTGGAAATACCTGTCATCCCCCTGCCCATTCCCCACCTATCCAAATATTACCTGCATTTCAAGGCCTGGTACCATAAATAAACACATCTCTTGGGAAATGTTCCAGTTCTCTAAACCTCCTAAGTTCATTCTCATCATCATACAACCATACAATTCAAGTCCTGGTTCAGCTATTGCTCCACAAGGCTAAGTTTGTTCTTTTAATAAATTGACTAATATTTGTTTTTTTCTTTTGTTCTCAGTAGTCCCTAGTCTAGCCGGGCCTGGATGAAAGAAAAAAAATGCTCGTCCATCCTGTAATAGGAAACTCTAAGAAGAGAATGTAATTTTTTTCATAACTGTGTTTCCTGCCACAGTGCTTGAGCTACTAGAAACTATTAAATTGCACAGAATGGTATGAATTAAAGTGTCTTGAATGATGCTTAGCTTACAGCTAGTGCTCAATAAATGTTGATGATAGAAAATTTATTAAAGTATGATAGGCCTGCTGATATCATTTGACAGTGGTTGTCTAACTTCTGAACACTCACCATTTCATTTAAATTCCTCAAAATGGGCTTCTCCATGGGCTCAGCAAAGGAGTTATACAGGACACTAGGGAAAAAAAAATGAAAAAGGGAGCTTCTCAGAGACCAGGAGACACCAGTGGGAAACTTCTCTGACTGGCAGCTGGGAGCTCCAGGTCAGGCCTCTCCCCCTGACTAGGTCACTCACCTGAGGCCTCCAGAAAATGAGACTTGGGCATGGCTCACTTGGGCATGGCAGTCCTGGAGTTCCAGGGCTGGATGGCCAAGGTCATTACGGGTGAGGACAATGATGCCAGTAAAGTAGATTCCAGAGAGAAACAGATCAGCAGCTCCTGAGTCTTGGCTGTGCAGAGAAAGGAAAAGGTTACCTAGGTCTGGGCCTACACATAGAGATGGGTCTGCTAAGTTCTTTGGAGACAAAGATCTCTGGCTTCCTAACACCTACAACAGATTCAGGAGTATCATATGCACTCAATGAATGCTTACTGAACAAATGAGTATGTAAACAGACGGTACTTATGTGGTTCCCAGTGCTCGGTGCTGCTTTGGCTGAGCAAAGACAGAGCACCACTTCATTTCCAGAGGGAACATCAGCGGTAAACACCTTACTTAGTCATTTACCTAGGTAAGTGGGGAAGTTATACTTAGCATATGGGGAGGCCCTGAGGCAGTGGATCGTGTATTATTCGATACTTTGTGCAGAATAATTTCCCAACACATGGCAGTTAAACCATCAAAGAAGCAAGGAAGTACATGAATCTGTGCTGTTTATGGAGGACCATGCTATTTATCTGCAATATATTAGACTGGGGAAATGATACACAAAGAGTCAATAAATCATTGTATATTAGCCTAGTGAATGGTTGAATGAGTTATTGTGAGGTGCCAACCAAGACAGGCCAAACCTGTCTCAGGCAAAACTGAGTCACTGACTTATCTATAGAAGTTGGTTTGTAGGTATACCTTAATTTTAACTTCTCTTTCTCTCTCTCTCTCTCTCTTTCTCTCCCTTCCTCTCCCTCCCTTTCTCCTCTCTCTCTCCTTGCTCTCCTTTTCTTTTTTTTCCCCTTCTCCTTCCTTCCTCTTCTTTCCTATTTATTTATTTATTTATTTATTTATTTATTTATTTATTTATTTATTTATTTATTCCAACCACGTGCAGGTACCTAAAACAGCTAGAAGGGGCATCAGAACCCCTGGAATAGGAGTTACAAGCAGTTGTGAACCATCAATGTGGGTGCTGGGAACTAAACTCAGGCTCTCTGCAAGAACAGCCAGTGCTCTTACCCACGAAGCCATCTCTCCAACCTATCTCCTTTCTCTTGGTTCTTCTTTCCTTCCTTCCCTTCCTCCCTCACTTCTCCTCTTTCTTTTTCTATTCTGTCAGACATGATCACATATGGCCCAAGCTGGCTCCAACCTAGCAGCAGTCTTCTTGCTCCAGTCTCCAATTACAGGTATTGACACTACACCTGGCTTTAATTTTTTTTCTTTTATCTGAGGGAGCAGGGACCTTTTGGTTGGGGAAGAGCGGTGCTCAAGCTAACTGCGATCCTCCAGCCTCTGTTTGAGACAGGAAGACCTGTTTCTCATCAGTTGAACCTGCAGATGGGAAAATGCACTAAGAACTGTTTCAGGCCCTGAAATCTGCACCATATGGGAGTTTCTCTCCCAGCTAGGTCTCTAGTTCTTAGGATTTTTTTTTTCTTTTTGGTGATTTTGAGACCCAGTCTCATTGTGTAGCCCTGGCTGTCCTCACGTTGTATACCAGGCTAGCCTCAAACTCACAGAGATCTGTCTGGCTCTGCCTCCCTAGTGCTGGGATCAAAGGTGTGTGCCACCATTTCTTAAGAAATCTTAAATGCTCAGTTGCTCTGCTTCTATGGGAAGGTGTTTTTCCTCCACCTCTCTTCCAAACAGGGGTTTCCCAAGTCAACTTTCACCTGGTAACTCTCTCAATTAAGTATGGCTACAGAGAGAAAGAAGCCTACACTGAAAATAGCAGTGAATTGTCTCCATTTTCCCACAACAGCAATAAGATCAGCGGGATACTCACAAAAGTGGAGCCTTGACTTCCCAGTTGGTGCTGATGTTGGCTGTGCCGTGGTTGCTCAGTGCTCGGATTCCTACCCCTGGCACAAAGGCCAGTGAGGTATTTGGCAATGAGAAGGCATTGATTGTTATGCTGTAAAACAAGAAACAGGAAACTAAGGGCAACTTTTCAGGATATTGCTAAGTCCAGCAGAATTGGAAAGGCTGGAACTGCCCTGAGATTGCAAATTCCTATAGAGGAGGAGCTCTCCCAGCTTTCTAGTGGGGAGTGTGGACACAGCTTCATGAGTCCTCTTAGCAAGAAGATCCTAAGATCTAGTTGAGGGAGGAAGCAATCAAGTTTAGAACTAAATTTATAAATAATCAAATAATCTATTTCTCAAATTTCTTTTTCTTTTTGGTATGTGCATGCATGTGTGCTTATGTGTGTGTGTGTGTGTATGTGTGTGTATGTGTGTGTGTGTGTGTGTGTGCTATATGTAGGCAGCTGTGTGTGTGCACATGGAGGCCAGAGGAGGACTTGGGTGTTCTGTTCTATCAATTGCCATCTAATTTTCGAGAGACTTGGAGGTAGACTGGTGGCCAGCAAAGCCCAGGGATCCTCCTGTTTCTGGTTCCTGCAGTGCTTGGATGATAGGTCAATGAAAGTCAGCATGCTTTTAGTATGGTGCTTGAGATTTGAATCAGGCCCTCACACTTCTGTAGCAAGTGCTCTTGCCCACTGAGGTGTCTCCCCAGTCCTTCGGGTTTCTTCAGAAACAAAAACAGGTACAGCACTGCTATTTCTTCTTCTTTTTCTTCCTCTTCTTCTACCAGTTTCAATATTCATTAAAGAAGATGACAGAAGTTATTTTGATGAAGTATCTGTTATCCCCCCAGGGGACTGTCATATACACTACCAGGCATTTGATACACTGGTCAGCTGTGTTCCCCACTTCCACTCACTGGGACAACAAAACGTGCTTTCCTCCTTCTGTTTCCAGTTGCCCCACATAACAGACACTTTCTGTAGCTAAGCAGCTGAGAAGAGCTGCCTTCTCATAGCATTCCCTGAGCCGTCAAACAGGTCATCCCAGGAACCTATAAGGTTTGCCTGTAATCCATGAAGATAGAAAATACATGCACAATGACATATTGTTTTGATTTAGGTGATTCCCAACTGCCTGGCCTCTTGGTAACCACTTTACATCATAGCTCAGTTTGGCCCACTCAGTATTCCTGTAGGGTTCTGGTGTGTGTGCAAGCTCCTGTTAAGAGATGAGAGGATAAAAGAAGCATATGAAGTCATATGTAAGTTGTAGAACCAGATCTGGAACCCTCTGCAATCTGACTTCAGACTCCTCCTAATCACTGGATCATGCCACTCCATGCATTATACAAATGGGCACTTGACCTGGACTGGAGGTTTGTACTAGTTGTATAACTTCAAGCAAGGGGCTTACTCTCTTTCAGTCAATGGTTAAAAAAGAATTGCTACTCACAGGGAGACTGAGAAGATGACATTGAAATGAATTCATCCAAGCGTAGTTGCTGCACAGAAGAAAGGTGCTGCTCTGAACTGAGACTGGGAAAAGTCTAGAAAACACATGTCCTAGCTGGTAAATGAGGTTTATGTGTTCTTTCCTATTCACTGTCTCCTGACTGTCATCCACCAACCACTTGAGTCCCACTGGGAGAAGAGAACAGCAGAGGTTCATTTAATGTGCTGTAGAAATATGCTCCGATGACATATAGGTCTAACCCATTCTCTCTCTGTTTCTCTTCCTCTCTCTCTTTTCTCTTCCTGAGACAGATTCTCTCTATGTAACCCTGGCTGTCCTGAAACTCACTATGTAGTCCAGGCTGGCTTTGAAATCACAAACATCTGGCTGCCTTGGCTTCCTGAGTGCTGGAATTAAAGATGTGTGCTACTATGTCTTGGCAATCTATTCTTTATAACTATACAGAATACTTCAAAACTCTTCTCTAGGCTGTTTCCATCATATAAACAATGGCAAAGGGAATGTTTGCATACACATTACTTGTGGACTATATTTTCCCAGGAAGGATGCTGAGAAGTGGAATTACTGGATCAAAGACTTTGTATATACTGTGTTGATTAATGTTGATTTTCAGTTTGATATGATCTGGAATCACCTAGGAGGCAAACATCTGGGCGTGTCTCTTACACAGTTTCTAGACTAGGTTAACTGAGGTGGGAAGAGCAACTCTCGGTGTGGACTGATCTGTGTTCTTCCAGACAATCAGCACTGATGAACTTGTCTATGCATTTATTTGTTGGTCTTTTGTATGTTTTTTTTTTTTTGCCCTTGAATTTGATGCATAGCTTAAGATAATCTTGAACTTCTGATCTTCCTGCTTCCACCTCCCAAGTACAGGTGTGTGCAAACACACCTGGCTTATGTAGTACTAGAATTATAAGCATGAACCGCGATGGTTGGATAAGATCAGCTTTCTGAATTAAAATTAAGTAAAGCTAAGTAAATAAGAATGTAGTTTCTCTGCTATACAAGTCACATTTGAAATGTTCAGTAGTTCTGAATGACCAGTGTCTGGTTTGTTTGAACAACACAGGTTTAAAATTATATTGATCTGTAAACTCATGCCAGCATAAGAACACCCATTTCTTCTCTTCTTCACCAGCACTTATTACACAGCTGTCCTTGTACTAGTCTTTTGTGACATTATCACTGTAGTTAAATGAGTATCCTTAAAATGTAATGCCCATCTCTTCCACAAAACGTTGAGGGCAAGGACTTATACCTTCATCCACTATAACGTTCTTGTATTTAGAACAAAGTCGTCTGTGAGCTAGTTGTTCAAAAAACACGTGCTGAACAGCTGGCTTTCTGCAGGTGAGGGAATGTACAAGGAAGTTTCTTGGTACAATCTCCTTTGCAAAAAATATACCTTCTGACTTTATAAAAGGTTATCATTGACATCAGGGATATCGTTACTGAAAGGGTTAGCGCAAAAGGCAGAATCACAATGATAGATAACTCCATAGGAAAGATTAGTTTACCTTATGACTAATTTCAATTTTGGCAAATAGATCCTCTCCCTCCTTTTGTGATCTTATTGGATCCCAGTCACCATCACATCCATTTCCCTAAACATCCTTGGACATGTGACTAAGTTCTGTCCATTGTTGTATAGATGAAATGTGGTGTTAGAGCCTCAGTCAAAACACCCAAAGTGAGAAAGTTAACTGAGCTTCTAAGAGACTTTTCTCCTTTATGAAATCTACATCAGATCATTGGAAATGTAGTAGCTATAAGGCAAACTTGGGAATAGAAGTCAGAACTTAGATGAAGCAGAAAAAAGACAAAGAAGTTAGGGCTGCCATAAATGTCTCCACTGGTTTTGAGCCCCTTGTGAGGACACTCCACTCTCTTACTTTGAAAAGTTGTACTTTACATAGTCAATCTTCAGAAATTCAAGAGACTCAGAACCTTTTAAATCTGGGATGGCAATATCCTTTGCCATTTGCTCCATCATCTTCACCGCAACTTGAAGACCTGTAATAGAAACAGGAAGTTATTTGTTTATCATAAGGAGGATGACAGTAATGTAATACCTCTAACTCTACAGATGTAGGCATTGAGTACGGCCTGATGTAAGATAAGAAAACAGCACTCCTACAAAAGAGGCATTGTCTCTGCTTCACATATGGAAACCTTAGTCTTAAGAGAGATGGGGGAACTTGCCTGAGACCACAGGGCTAACATAAGGAGGAGTTTTCTTTACATGGCCAGGACTGTGATTGCAACAACAAGAGATATTCTTCAAAGGGCGCTGCAGTTGTTGCCAGGCGCATCTTGTAGATATAAACTATTAATTTTTGTGTAAGCAAGCATGGGTTCTGGAGAGCTAAGAGCTAATTCTGAGCAATTGGCTTCAGAAATCTGGCCAAGTTATTTTTATTCTTTTTTCTTTCCAGATTCTTTGAACCACTGATATTCTAATAAAAGACAGTGAGTGGGTTGTGTGCTTATAGTGTTTCATTTGTCAGTGGAAAGGAGCCACAGATTCCTCAAAGGACTCAAAACTTGGAAGGAGTGACCAATCACTGTTTCTGTTTTTTTGTTTTTTTCAGGAATAATCCACTAATTTCTTTGCATGGAAGCATCTCAGAACACATTTTCCTGAGCTTGATAAAATTAACTTCCAAGGCTGGGTGGTGGTGGTGCATGCCTTTAATCCCAACACTTGGGAATCAGAGGCAGGCAAGTTCTACACCAGCCTGGTCTATAGAGTGAGTTCAGAATAGCCAAGGATACATTGAGAAACCCTGTCTCAAAAAAAAAAAAAAAAAAAAAAAAAAAAAGGTAGCTTCCAGGGTTGGCTAGATTGACTCACTAGGAAAAAAGGCTTGCTTCCAAACCTGCTGCCAAACCTGTTGAGTTTGATCCCCCAGAGTCCACACAGTAAAACAAGTTGTCCTCTGAACTCCTGATGTGTTCCATGGCCCATGTACCTACATGCATGTGAGTGTGGATGGACACGCACACAATAAATAATAAATAATAAATCAATAAAAATTTAAAGTAACTGAATGCAACCTTGCCTTTTCCCCTTGCTTTGCTTTCAAGTTCATTCCAGTTGTTCTGTCCCCCTGGAGAGGAGGAGCAAACGGTATCCTATAAAACGCTGTAGATGTTGCTGTATATGGGGATGTAAAGACAGTGTAAGGAGGTGACGATAAGAAACAAAGTAGTATTGAAGATCTTGGGCTTGAGCCCCGACACTGTCACCCACTAGGCTTGTGTGATTTGGCCTCACTTTCCTTATCTGTGTCTTGGGAATGATAGTGACCAGGAAGGGATCTATTCACACATATGAAAGGGACAGTCTCTAATATTTACTAGGCATTTTGTTTCCAAGGGCTTCGTACATATGAATGCAATCATTTCCTACTACAGCTGAGGTGAGTACCACTATTGCTATCCTCATTTTGATAAACATTCTGCAGATACTACTAACAATGAGCACAACAAATCATGTTCTGTGAAAATATGGAGACATAGAATTGGTGAGGTTAAACTAATAAAAGTTCATTTTAATGGAGTGCCTGTATGTGTCTGGACTGTCCACATGCTACCTAGGTTCTTTCCTTCCAGTCTCAAAAAATTTAATGATATAGGTATTGCCTCAGCTCCACACAGGAGGCGGCTTAGGTTCAGAGTGAGTCAGTGACTTGCCCATGAGCCCACAGCCAGTGAATGTCATCAGGCAGGACTTTGAGGTGAGAGGAGCAGAAATATGAACATATGTTGTAGGGTGAGACAAAACTTACTTGTTTGGAAGTATTTCTCCATGTTTGGTGAGGGAGGTCCCCAAATTGTCCAAAACCATATCGTTACTGTTCCTGAGTGATCACAGAACTATCAGTAAGACCCTATTGCTGAAGACAATACATGCCTTGGTCAGGAGATAGAATAACCAAGCTAGAACTTGGGAGGAAGATTCCTCCCTGATGGCTAGCTCTCATGGTGCCAGAAGGTGCTTCACAGACTGCTGGGGTGAATTTCCAACAGTCCTACTCGACTGTGAACTTTGTGTGAAACAGTACCAATCAGTCAGGCAAGGTGAGCCTCCTGGTGCAATGGTGGCAAGTCTGTTATGTGGTCACGAACCACTTTCTGATTGGATTTCCTTTCTGGTCCATGGCTGTGGGGGTCATATGTCATACTATAAACCTGATAAAAAGCTCATGGCTTGGAAGGTGATAAGCCCTAGTGGGAAAGTTGTTTTGTTAAATGGACATAACATGCCCATCAAATGGCCTCTAAACAATTAGTGCTGTTGTCAGTCTCAGTCAGAAAACTTTTTTGAAATGGTAAGTAGTGGCTTCAGACTCATAACTAGTCAAAGTACTGAGAATAAGAGACTTGAATGCCCATTTATAAATGGGACACTTATATTGCCTCCTTCTAATGCTCAGGGAACATCACAAAAGAAGGGAAAGAACTAGAGAAAGACCCCAAAAGTGATGTGGAGTTCTGACTTTTGGGCATGAAGTAGCTTTTATATTCTTGAGCTTACAGCAGCTGTAATTACCTGACATTGAAGAGTCCCTTTCTGTCAAATGACATCAGTTTCTTCATAGGGCTCTTATTGTAATACTTTCTACATAAGGGCCATGAAGCATATTAATAGCCTGGCATGGTAGGTGCTGAGACCATTCTGAATCCAGTACCTTCTTATCTCCATGGTTCTATCCTGCATTTCCACAGGTAAGCTCATTTGGTCCTCTTACCATTTAAGATGTAGGGATCAACTACTCATCTCTACTTTCCCAAACGAGAAAACTACTTGCCTATGGCCATGCATTGACAGAAAGAGTAGAACTGATACCTACACCCATGCATGTGGACATCAGATCTGTTAAGTGCTATAGCTTACAAGGTAGAAAGACCACTTTAAGACTACTATAACATACCTATACCTGACATGCACTTTCCATACACACAGACATTATCAGTATAGTAACTGGATACTCACATGAAGGCATATTCATATTCCTATTGCCTGTTTATATTTATAATATTGTTCACATAACAGTTATACCCAATGGGCTAATTTTACACACTCTGTGCACCATGGGGGAAAAGAGAAGGATTTGCCCAAATCAGCCTTTCTCTTCCTTTTCTTTTCCTCCCTCCTTTCTGTTTATTTCTTTCCTAATATAACATGAAAGTAATTTTTGGGTAGATTTAGAGGTTTCTTGGTTAGACTAATAGTGCTTGGATTGGCTGCTTAGGTTCTGAATTTGTAGTTTAATAAGCACAAATCTGATCCATTGTATCTTAAGTCTGCCTCATCTGCTCCAAAGGCCTAAGTGATCTGCTATGTATTAACTTAAGTTTACCTTCTTGACCTGCTTCTTTTTAACATTTTAAAAGAGGCTATCAATGACAGAAAGAGAGAGAGAGAGAGAGTTAAGAGGAGTGAGAGGGAGAGAGCATTAGCGAAGTTTGAGAGAAGGAATCTAGGAGGGGCTGGAGGAAGGAAAGGAAGGGGAAATGACACAATTCTATTTCAATTAAAATATTTTTAAAATAAAAAAAAGAATTGGCAGAGATCTGGTGATCTATATTCAGCTAATTTGAGGCAAAATGTGACAGGAGTAAAACAGGTCCATATATTTTTGGTTTTGCAGGCAAGATCCTCTGAACTTTAGATTAGCTCAATAAAATCATATTCTTACATTTTTCTGTTTCTAGTCTTGCAAAGACCTTCTAAAAGCAGTGGCTATTAATCTGTCAGTCTAAGATCCCTTTGAACATCCACTATATGGTGGAACCTCTTAAGAATAAAGCACACTGGCCCACAATAAACTTTGTATATGATTCCAGGATCCCAGGTTTCCTCTTGTTTTTGAGACAGGGTCTCACTATGTAGCCCTGGAAGGCCTAGAAGTTGCTATGTAGACCAGGCTGTTCTCAAAGCCGCAGAGATCCTTTCCTTCTTTACTTTTGGAGTGCTGGGATTAAAGACATGGGCCATTATACCCTTTCTAATGCATTTTTATTTAGAGCCCTGGTATGTGTGGTGGGGGCAGGAGAGGAAAAGAGGGAGAGAACACCTGTGTGTTTGAATATGTCTTCCACCAGAGTGCCTATTTTGGGGATAACACTTTCTTTCCAGTTGTCTGTGACATTTTTTTTTTTTTTGAGAAGACCCAAGGAAGTTTTCTTATTTTTTTCAAGATCAAAATAAGCATAGATTGAAATTATTTTATTAAATGAATGTTGTCCTAACTTAATAACTTGATAAAGAAAAATCTATCATAAATAACATACCACTTAACATTATAAAATGTCACTAATATTAAGAGACTAGACCACTGAAAATGCTGCGACATCTTCATAAGGGTTTATTAGGTGATCCCTGAGAGTTTTTCTCAGACCCAGTTCACAGCCTGCTGGTTTGAACCACAGGCCACATCTAGGGCATCTATAGCCTGACTTTTGAATGTACCCAACTCACCATAGTCTAGTGCACACTGGGTGATCCTCGCCTTGATTCCAGGGTAAACAGTCTGGGAGGAGGCGATGTAGAGTTTCCACAGGAGGAAGCATGCCCAGAGGACTGGGACCTGCTTTGTTTGCATCTGCAGTGAATCAACATTAAGAGTTCCTTTAAATTTTTTTTAACTTCCTCAACTGTTAATTCCACCCAGTGTTTGTAGGCTTTCTTATTTTCATTGATAACTTCTCAAATTTTACCTATCCATCCATGTCTTTGCCCATTTGCTGACTAAATGTAGCAAAATATGTTGTAGCTGTGGACATGACCTGCATATGACCCTTCATCTTTATTTTCCACAGATTAGGATATTTGCACGAACATAAAGCAATTATAACACAATGTAATAAAACAGTCTCTATAGGTGTATACCCTGAGAATGATCCTGGGGAGGGTGAAGTGCAGAACAGATAGATTTCAGAACATGTAAGTCAGTTATGTAGTCTTATTGCCATGAATCAATCTTTCATCTGCTTAAAGTCCACTGGTACCTCCTCTTTATCTACAGGAGTCAAAATTGTATTTAAGCTAGCCATTATTATGCACATTTGTAATCCTAGCATTTGGGTGGCTAAAGCAGGAAGGTCAGGAGTTCAAGGCCAACATTGCCTCCTTGGCAAGTTCTTGAGACTCTGTCTTAAAACAAATCAAAATAACAAAACAAACAAAAATATCTTTCATTGTCTCTGCATTTCTTAGCTGCTATACTTCCTCCTTCAAGTGGTGCTTTTTCAAATGGGGCAGGCAGAAACATCTGCTTGCTACTCATTGATTGACCAGTTCTCACACACTCATAGGCCTTCTGTTCAACTCTCCATATGTGAACACACACACCCACACACATACACACATACACTCATGCGTGCATGTGTGTGTGTGTGTGGGTGTGTGGGTGGGTGTGTGTGTGTGTGTGTGTGTGTGTGGGTGTGGGTGTGGGTGTGTATGCACCCCATTCTCATTCCTATACTCTGGCCACCCACCCATAGTCTGTAGAGTGAATTCATTCTCCTGGATCAGCTTTGGTTCCCTCTGTGACAATATCCTTGACTATGTATGTCATGCATGTATGGTTCATCACATCCTCCTGTCACATTTGCATAATAAATGTGTCTTAGTGAGGGCTTCTACTGCTGTTGCAAAACAGCTCTCTGTTTTCCCAGACAAAATCCACAGGGTTGTCACTAGCGCTGCAACAGAACACCAGCTGCAGCCTTCCCTCCTCCCTGTCCACAGCTGCTGTAGATTCCACAGGCCATACCACTGGCCTTACTTCTGCACCTCATTGCCGTGTTCCAGTCCCCAACTCAGGCAAATACACCTGCTCAGCCACAGGCCACTTGAGATCAAGGGATACAAATTGGAAAGGAAGAAATCAAAGTATTATTTGCAGATGATTTAATAGCTTACATAAGTGACACTAAAAATTCCACCAGGGAACTCCTTCAGCTAATAAACACTTTCAACAAAGTAAATGGATACAAGATTAGATCAGTAGCCCTCATATATATAAATTACAAACAGACTAAGAAAGAAATCAGGGAAGTAACACACTTTGCAATAGCCTCAAAAAATACAAAATATCTTGGGGTAACTCTGTCCAAACAAGTGAAAGATTCAAATGATAAAAACCTCAAGTCTTCGAAGAAAGAACTAAAGAAGACATGTGAAGATGGAAAGAGCTCTCATGCTCATGGATCTGTAGGATCAACGTGGTAAAAATAACCATCCCACCAAAAGCAAGCTACAGATTCAATGAAATCTCATCAAATTCCCAACACAATTCTTCACGGACATTGAAAGGACAATTCTCAACTTCATATGGAAACAAAAAAGTCAGGATAGCTGAAACAGTTCTGAAAAATAAAAGAACAGCTAGATTTCAATAAAAACCATATGGTATTGTCATAAAAATAAACATGTTGAACAATGGAATTAAGTTGGGGAACCAGACATAACTCCACACACCTATGAAAGCCTGATTTTTGAGAAAGAAGCCAGTAACACACAATGGAGGATAAAATTCATCTTCAACAAATGGTGCTGGTCAAACTGAATGTCTGCATGTATATGAATGCAAATAGATCCATATTTATCAGCCTGCATAAAACTAAAGTATAAGTGGATCAAAGACCTCAACATAAAATCAGATACACTGAATCTGACAGAAGTGGGGACTAACCTTGAACACACTGGCATAGGAAATGACTTTCTGAACAGAAAACTGATAGAGCAGGCACTAAGATCAACAAGTAATAAATGGGATCTCATGAGACTGAAAAGCTTCTGTAAGGCAAAGAACACCATCAATCAAAGTGACAGCCTACAAAATGGAAAAATATTTTTACCAACCCCATAGTCAATAAAGGACTAATATATAAAATATATAAAAAACTCAAGAAACTAGATACTACAAAACCAAAATGATCTAAATAAAATGGGGTACATATCTAAAAAGAATTTTCAATAGAGGAATCTCAAATGGCTGAGAAAGAAATGTTCGACATCCTTAGCCATCAGGGAAAAGCAAATCAAAAACTGTCATGTTACACCTGTCAGGATGGCTAAGATCAGTAACACAAGTGACAGTTCATGTGAGGATGTGGAGTTAAAATTGTACAGCTACTATGGAAATCAAGGTGACAGTTCTTAAGAAAGTTGTGAATTGATCTACCTAATTGGGCATATGCACAAAGGATGCTCGGTCCTACCACAAGAACACTTGCTCAGATATGTTTCTTGCAACTTTATTCATACTAGCCAGAAACTGGAAGTAACCTAGATATCTCTAAACAGAAGAATTGATAAGGGAACTTTGCACAATGGAAAAAGAAACATTTACACAATGAAATACTACTCAGCTGTTAAAAAAAAGTGACATCATGTAATTTGCAGGCAAATGGATGGAACTAGAAAAAAGTCATCCTCAGTGAGGTAACCCAGACCCAGAAAGTCACATATGACATGTATTCACTTATAAGTAACTTTTAGCTCTCAGGTAAGTGATAACCTAGCTACAATCAGTAGACCCAGAGAGGTCAGGTAAAGTGGAGGGCTCTAGGCAGGGAAGCATGGATCTCCCTGAGAAGGGGAAATTGAAAGGATTTTATGGGAGGATTGGGGAATGGGAGGAAGTATCAGGTTTGGGGAAGGGAAGGAAGTTGAGAGTATGAGGAGAGATGGCTGGTATGGGGGGGGGAGCATTTGAAAAGTGTTGTGGAAACCCAGTGCAGTGGCAACTTTCTGGAATTTCTGTGAAGAAATTTTCTAATAAAGACTCCTAGTAATGGAGGATACAATCTGAACTTGCCACCTTTTGCTACCAGGCAAGGCTTCCAGTGGTGGGACTGGGTTACATTCAGTTGAGTTATTGGCTGAGGGGGTCCTATGGGGATTCCCAGAAACCTAAGCTAATGCTAGGACAGTGGGTCACTCTCTGAAAACTGACAGCAGGGCCCCATTGTGAAGACTACCTACACAAAGCTTGTTGAGCATAGAGAGGTGGAGCTGGTGCCTGCATGGACCTTCATGCCTACATTTTAGTCTCTTCTGTGCGGGAAGGTACTCTGCAAGCTACTGGATTGGTGTCCACGTTTCTCTTTCAGCCTACACGAAACCTTCAGCCTACAATCTGTCCTGTCTGCAAGATGTGCTTGGAATTATAGTGGATCTGGCTAACTAATGTCTGGTATAACTTGAGGCCCATCCCTTGAAAGGGAGCCCATGCCTGTCAGTGCTTAGGTAACCAAGAACCAGAAACTAGGTAGCCAAGAGACATAGGGTAGAACAAAACATGACTGGCAAAAACAAAACAATGAAATGATTCTTAATGATATTCTGCTATACTCATAGATCAGTGTCATGTGCAGTCATCATCAGAAAGGCTTTCTCATGCAGCAGATGAGAGTAGATGCAGAGACACACAGCAGACTTTATGCAGAGAGAGAGAGAGAGAGAGAGAGAGAGAGAGAGTCTAAATTGGAGGTCCTTCCCTTCAGATTCAGGGAACTCTGAGGAAGAGGAGGAGGAAAGATTGTAGGAGTCAGAGGGGATGGAGGACACCATGAGAACCTGGCCCACTGAATGAACTAGGCAGGGTTCATATAGACTCATAGAGACTAAAGTGGCAGATCTGGGACCTGCATGGGTCTAGCCCAGGTCGAACCTCTGCATGCATTATGACTGTTAGTTTGGTGTTTTTGAGGGGCTCCTCACTTTAGGACTGGGTATATCGCTGACTCTTTTACCTACTCTTGGAACTTTTCCTCTTGTTGGGTTGCCTTGCCAGGACTTTTGCCTTGTCTTATTTTTATCTTGTTTTATTGTGTTTGGTTGTTGTCTCTTGGAGGCCTGCTCTTTTCTGAAGAGGAAACAATGGGAGAGTAGATCTGGGTGAGAGGGGAGTTGTGGGGAGCTTGAAGGTAGGGAAACTGTGGTGGTGTGGTTGTATTGTATGAGAGAAGACGTTATTTTCAATAAAAACATACAAAAAAAATCACATTTCACCAAAAAGGACTACCCATATTCCTCCCCCCCCCAAAAAAAAAAAAAAAAAAAAAAAAAAAAAAAAATTACACAAAAAAAAACTACCAAAATACCACCCCCCCCCAAAAAAAAAAAACAAAAAACAAAAAACTGAAACTTTCTCATAAAAAATCTAATTCGTAGCAAGTATGAAAGTCTTTAAAATGTTTGTAAGGTGTAATTTTTTTTCAACTACTTTTCATCTACACAATGAAATACATACCGTTGATTTCTCATGAAAGAGAAGATTTGGGAAAATAACACTATGGTCTCCCTCTCTTTCCCCCTCTCTTTCATGTTGAACTAGAAATTTAACTGGTATTTTTAAAAAAGTCTTCCACTTTGTTTTTAAGGGACAGTTTGCATGGCTGAACAAACAAACAACACCATTTCCAAAGCAACTCAGGAAAGAAAGGGTTGATTTCAGCTTACAATTCCACAGAACAGTCCATTGCTGAGGGGAGTTAGGGCAGGAACTCAAGCAGGGCAGGAACCTGGAGGCAGGAGCTAATGGAGAGATCATGGAGAGGAGTACTACTGTGTTGCTCATCCTGGCTTGCTTAG